AAAAAAAAAAAAAAAAACACCAATAAAACTTGGGCTCGAATGTAGTCTTGGCCGCACATAGCTTAATTTACAAAAATCTTAGGCATGCTTAAACTTTGTAACCTTATAAAATAGAATAAAAGAGAACCTAAGCAATTAATGACATTAAAGAACAAATAAGAAATTAAATAAACAAATAAGAACTTAAAAATTTAAGTGGACGAGGACATCTATTTAATTCGATTGTTGGATTATACGATTTATACACCATTTCGAGCTAAGAAATGAAATGCAAATGATCTTATTCTCTTATTCATAAAATGGGGCGTTACACAATCCCTTTATTTTGCTTTCAAATTTTCTTCTCTTGTTTCTCAGATTTCTCTTTCCTTTGAATTTACAGGCCTCAAAGCCAAGGTTTTTGGCAATTGGAGAGAGTGACCTTGAGGCCGTCGGATTGATGGAGCTGGTGGGCGTCTAAGAGGCCCGATTCCAGGACAACTTCAAGATTTTTTTTTCATTAATATATGAATGTTTATATTAATGTGTAGTTTTGTCATCTTGAATTTTGTATATTAATCAATGTAAAAATTGATTAATATCCTGATTTTGTATGAGTTTTATAATGATTAATGACAAAAAAAACGAGAATGGAGGGAGAGGGAGAAATCTGGATTTTTTTTTCTCTTGCTTCTATTCAATAAACTCTTGGCTGGAAATTTTCCGTAAAGAAAGACTCACAAGGCAGTGATTTTCTTGATAAAGAATTTTAATTAAATAAGGAGTTGTAATATTATGATTTTTGATACAGAAGATCTTCAGTAAGACGCAACTGCAGCGTATACTCTCGTCGTATTACAAATCGAGCTATATAGGGTAGAGACTCCTGCTGATAACGTGATATAAAACTACAGAGGTAGAGAGAGAATAGAGAAAATGTTTCTCTTAGGTACAATTTTTATTATAACTGAAGCTCCTATTTATAGAAAACTTCTGATGGCACAACCATAATAATACAATTACATCACTTGAAAAATAGTCATTCATATCTATTATTTTATAGCAAATATTTCACAACAGACTATTACTATTATTGTTATTATTATTATTGATATATTTATTATAATTGAACTGATTAAAGTAGAAAAGAAGAGATGATTCAATATACACAGACACACACACACACACTTCAAATAGGCCATCAGAAGTTTGTAATTTCAAGGATATAAAATCCATTTTTACTCCATATAGCATGTAATACATGACCTTATTACAAAAAGACAGTAAAAAAACAGTTGTAATATGTAGTCATGACAACTACAAATCGAAAATTAAGCATTCGAAGCTGATTTCTCGCTAGAAACGACATACTGATATATTATGATGCTTTATTTCTAACAACCCTTGCAGAGATCCTTGCACTGTTGAGAATTAGGGTGACCAAACTTGCAAAGGCCGCATTGCGTGCAGTTGTCCATATATGTTGCTGTTATCATGTGAAAAAAATAGAAAAACAAACTATTATTCTTCGGTTGATGTATTGTGGGTTGAAAATCATAGAATGTGTGAAAATTGCAATTGTTATGGGGAAGATGATAAGAAATTCCTATAACAATTTTTCAATGGATTTGTTATTGCAGGAATTTCTTTTAGAATATGCAGTTTCTGTTGAAATCTTATTTCTCTTTTTTTTTTCTCATCAATGATTTCAAATATTTGAAAAATTGTTGTTGTTGCAATCGTAAAAAATCAAGAACTTGGAATGGTGAGTGAAGCATAAGACTTACGATAAACATTAGAAGCCTCTCGAACATCCTGCAATTCAGGAAACCATACAAACTATTTAATTTCATAAAATAATGCATATAAACATGTCGGTAAGAAGAATCGTTACATATAATCTCGACCTTTTTACTCAACTCCTGATCAGCTGCCATGACCTATGACGCAACAACACCAGGAGAAATGTGTGAAAAAAAAAATTATTGTCATAATACGTACTACTAAAAATGAAGATAATAACAAATGAACAAAACTCACGCATATCTGCTGCATGGAAATGGCGACAAGCACAATGATTAGGAAAGCAAAGAACTTAGCCATTTTTCGAGAGTGTAAATAAAAGTAACCACTCTTTGGTATTGTTTGAGGTGATGGAATGGTTGTGTGCACGAGGATATAAATAGCGTTTTTGTTGCAGATTTTAACGTGAGAGGACTAAAGTTTAGATGAATCGACTCGTCCTATTTTTTGGACAAGCATATAGTAAAATATCGTCACATTTATTTAGACATGTACTATAAAAAATGATGGGCATAATTTCAAAATTGGTCCTATAATTTGGCAACTTTCCAAAAAAACCACCCCGCCATTGGCCACTTTCATTCTTGGTCCTATAAATTGTCCATTTAATCAAATTTGGTCATTTTCTAATCAAATTTGGTCCTATAATTTGACATTTTGGTCCTTTTATAATCTCATTTTAATCCATATTCTGGATAAAAAAGGACCAAATTTGATTAAAATCTCAAATTATAGGACCAAGTTTGAAAGTGGCCAACGGCGGGGTGGTTTTTTGGAAAGTGGCCAAATTATAGGACCAAATTTGAAATTATGCCAAAAATGATGATATTCCAATGGAATTTCAACGACAATTTTAATGGATATTCTAATGTTATTATTTCCGTTGTATTTTTCAATGGATTTCAACAGAAATCCCAAAAAAAATAATCCGTTTGAATGAGTTTTTCATTAGAATTCCTGCTGAATTTTGACGATTCCAACGGTAGATTTTTCAAATGGGTAGAAATAAAAATCCCAACGAAAATTCTTATTGTAAAAAAGTTGGAAAAATAACTGTTGAAATCATCAAATTCCATCTAAAATTTCAATTGAAAACTCATTGCAGCGGAATATTTTTGTTGAAATTGCCGTTGGAATCATTCCAATGAAGAATATACCATTAGAATATCCATTGAAATTTTCATTGAAATATATTACTGTAGGATTTCTCGTTGGAATATATAATTTTTTTTTTGTAATCATGCATTTGAATATGAGAAACATGCATTTATATTTAAATGAAATTGTGTAGCAAACTAGGAAAAAATAAATAGTATTATTTTTTTAGGAATTAAGACTAGTGATACATGAACATTAAAATTATAAATTTTTGGTAAAAAATAAAAATAAGTGAAAATAGCTAGTTATTTTCGTCTGGAATAAATATATCCCAAGTTTCATACCACTAATTCAAATTTTAATTTTTATGTCTCACGGGTTAATAAAAGACTTTTGAAATTGTAGGACCTG